TAAAGTCAATGTTATGATACATCAGCTTAGCGACACCCTATAATGAAATGAAAAGCCTAAATAAGACAAATACTGTAAATATGATGTAAACAATATATATAATTTTCTGCCTTAAATGGCTTTGGGCAGATGACTGTTCTTTGACAAGCCCATAAAACCACCATGTTGACAGCATAAGTCCATAATCAGGGATGCAGAAAAAGATGTAGGAATTTAGATCTATGACATTTTTCTGGAGAGCTTTCTCTCATGAACTGAGAAAGCTTTTCTACCATTTAGTAACATAAAAGTAGTACGTTCAGCTCAGCCTGAATGGAGCTGAATTATCAAGAATGTTCAGATCCCGTCACTGTACATTAACCTTGAGAAGGGAAATTTCTGTCAAAGCATGCTACTCAGCCAACAGAAGTCAAGATTCATAATTTTATACTAATGGCTAAGGATTGGGTCTGATAACCTGAGATGAGTGTGGTTTGAACAGGTTCTACCACAATTTCCCCCCTTTCTGCCAGCCTGGTAAATGCTATGTCAGTAACAGAGAATATAAAGGGTGCTTAATTTTCACGATCCTCTGTGCTGAGAGTCACAAAGCCTTTTACACCTGGTCTCTACACTTGCTATAACATCACTTTTCAAAATGTTAGCCTAAAATGCTTTTTCTTAGTACAGAAACCTATTTCTTATTTCAGTACGCACAGACTCACAGCCCAATTTACTATCCTATTAAAAGTACTAAATATCTAATGTTAGCATTTCAATGCAATAGCCAGATATTTTAATTTATATTAGTTCCAGATTGTATTAACTTGTTTATTTATTGAATAAAAATGTATAATATATAAATATATATATACACACATATATATAAAAAACATGCTGGATGTAATGTCAAACCTTTAAATTCATAAAATAATAAAAAAGCATAAACCATTATCATTTTTCACAGCTCAAAAGGCCAACATGGCTTCATGTTTCTAGCTTTGGAAAGTTTGGAGAGATTTTTTTCCAATATTTTTTCCAATTGCAGTTAAATGTAATGCAAATAATAAGTGGTGCTGAAATCCTCCATTTTAGCTAATTCTCTTTTACATATAGGGCATGAACTTGCCTTAAATCGGTTTGTGTAAACTGGTGGTATTGCAATAGATCAAACATTTCTAATATTAATATACTGCAATACATACACACAAAAAAGAGAGTGAAAGTTAATTTTTTCACATTGCAAAGCAGTGCATTAAAATGTCTTTAATACTTTTTGTCAGTGACAGCATACTCCATGATGAAGTTTTTTAGTTTAAAGAACCTAAGGACTGTAATTTCCTGGAAAACTAAATCATTTTAGGAATGTTTAACTGGAACCCAAAATCTTCACACCTTCTCAGTCCTTTAGTACAAAGCAGTGTTTTCCCATTTTTTTTTTCTTTTTTTTTCTTTTTAATACAGTTCAGTTCATCAATTTATCTGTGAATAGCCCGGTGGGACAGATATGTCAGTCTCAGGCCATTTCTAATAGAAAATGGTTGAATATTCACTTGGTTAGATGATGTAGGTATATTATTTTGATAGAAGAGCAGTTATTTAATGTCATGGGTGATGAATGGCACAAGAAGAGTTAGAAGGGAAGTAATGGTGATAATTTGTCAAAGACGCTAAGAGATAGAGTGGTAGGGCAGGTGAGGTAGAATGATACACTATCTAGTTAGAATAATATGAAATAGTGCTGGAGGATAACTTAGTAGGACAGGAAAAAAATGAAAAAAGAAATGGGAAAACACTGCTTTGTACTAAAGGACTGAGAAATATTTAGAAAAATATGAGTGCTTGGAATTCTTCTGATACACCACAAATAAAGCCTAAGAATATCTATAATCCAAATTATGCAAACAGAAGGGTAAATCCACACCACTTAGAAAGCTACATTTGAGAAAAGAAAAAAAAAAGGAATACTCCTAATGTCAAGGAAGGGGAAAAATACAATACAAAATCATTTTATGTCTCGTTCTTCTGGATTAAATCTTTCTGAGTTACTCAATTTAAATATCTCACTACAGTAAGAGGGTGGACAAAGTAAAGACAGATAAAACAGAAGGATGTGTTTCTGGAAGGGCAAACTATTTGTGCATATTTCTAGCTTTTAAAATCCTCTTTAAAGACATTTATGACTAATCAGGACACCAGCAGTTTTTAAAATAAAAGAGGTATCTGGAAAATAGATTCTTGTATTAGAAAAACAAGAGTAAATACACCTGAAAACTTGTTATGCGAGTTTTCCAATACAACCTGCAGAAATTGAAAAGAATGAAACTCAGGGAGATGAGTCACACATAAAACAGTAGTTATATGGCAACAAGCTAGGAAAAGAAAAGACAAGTAGGAATTTTGAGCAGCTGGTAAAGTTGCTAAGAGTCTCATCGTTGTTACAGGGAACATTCCTGTGAATTTAAAATATACAAGATATAAAAGGAATGATGAAGACTTCTGTTGCTGACTGTTATGAATAACCACTTATGTGAAAATGAGAGGAAGTGTTTTTCAAAGATAGAGGTGTCCTTTAAAAGGACAGTTTAGTTAATTCCATTTTTTTTTCAAATTTTCATCAAAGAAAATAATTTCAAGGGTAATTTGAACCCAGAACATCTCGGTTTCCCCAAGGCACTGTAGCCTTCTTCCCTAGACCAGCTATGTGAACTGTTACAGGAGGAAGGTACAGAAAAGTCTCTGCAGTCTCAGAATTTTCTTATCTTTCTATGTGAATGTGTCCTCTACTGCTAAGGACATGCTTTCTCAGATATATGGACTGCTCACAGAGTTCTGAAACACAATACCCAGGCTGACTTTTCTCTGTCCTCATAGTTCATGCACTGGGATAAAGAAAGGATTATTCCATTGTGGTAAACACAGTTTCACCTCCACAGAGACTAAAAGACGGAAAAGACAGGTTTTTCTTTCCTTGCTTCAACAACTGTTGTCCACCGTGTTTTATTTTCTTTTTTGACTGAGTTCATGCTGTAAATTAGTATTCTTTCCTTTTGGGGTGAGGGGCAGGGGAATCATGAATTGAAGGTGTTAATGATGATGACATAAATTATGACAATATTCTTCTCCCCAGTCTAGAATGATGAACCTGGAGGTGAATGTGCAATACAGATTCCTAAATCCACTCCTGCATACCTATCTTTCCTGCATGTACTATTTAAGTTTTTTTCCTTAGCTACTAGAGTGTCAACAGGTGTAATCAAGTGTAGGGAGTCATATTGAGAGGGAGCCTTGCTGTGTCAGAGCAGAGGCTTCCTACTGAAGAACCAGCACATGCAAAGCTTTGCAAACAGCAGAATTTACTTGGCACCTATGCCCTACCAAAGCTGACATACCACCTTGTGTATGGGCACAGTGCCATCCTGACAGATGGGGATGAGTGCAAGCAGCCAAGAGACCATGTCTGAGCATGAAATATGTTTGTGGAGGGCAGGATTCCCAGCTAGAAATGTCAGAACAGCTGTTTGTCCTGAGTTTTGTGTGCCTACAGGTTATATGGTCTGCAGTTTTGCTAATTCATCACCAAGTTTGATTAATTTTGTAAGTTTCTGCTATAGCTGCCAGTCGACATGATTTCAGGCTAGTGTTGTGTGCAAAGAAGCAAAATTGGTCCCTTCTTTTAGACTACTCATGACAAGACTGAAAATAGTGTCACAAAAGGATGGAAGAGTTTTCCTAAGTAAGAAACTCATTCTGGGCCTTCTGCAGTTTCCTATGTTATTTTACTAAATGAAGTCTTATAATATTTGGTATCCATTCATCTCAAATCCAGCAACTTTAGTCTTCCACACTCAAACCCATTAAGAGTGGTAAGAATTATTTAAAACAGTTTGTTCACAAGATAACGTCAAAGAGTAATCAGGGCATAAAAATGTTTAAAATGGTAGATCTCCAAAATTAGACTGTCTCAACTTTTCTCTAACTGTAACAGTATCTACAACTTTCATTTTCATTAGAAGAAAATATATTTTTTCCCACAAGGCAATAGAGCTTCAATAAATTATTGCTTTTTAAGTAAATCTACTTTTATCACTTTTTAACCTTCAATTTCAGACTGGATTTCAGACGTGAATCTACTATGACTTCTACTAACAGAATTTCTATAATTTGTTTTTTTAACAGCTTTGTCTCTATGACTACGGTGAATAGATTCATAATGACAGTGAAGTGATTCCTTTTTGTTTAAGGATGAGAATATTGCCTTTCCATAGGCATTATTGTAATTCCTACTTTCTGTCATTTTTAGAGCTTCAAGTGAAACGCACACTAATATTTTTCAAGAATTTTAAAATATCTATTTCTGCTGCCCCAAATCTGCAATCCTTAAGTACTTAGCAATATCAGACTAACCAATGAATGGCATTATTATTTAAATTTAAAAGAAAAATAAAGTTGTGCTTCAAAGATTTGTTTCTCTGTAAAACCTTGTAGAAATATTGACCTCAGATTAAAAGGTGTAATTTTTGAAAACATTCTGCAATGTAATTTATGGAACAAGGTTAAGACTTTCATACCCAAGCTTCTAAAAATGTGTACTCCAGCAAATGACCTGCCTTCATATTCTCTGTCAGGTGACATTTGTTCCCTTTGTAAAATCTTTCATAAGGAGTATTCTGACCTTGAGCAGCAATAGAGAAATGTATTTCTTAATGGAGATGTAAACCGTGCTGACAACTCAGTCTACTGCCTGCATCAGTGCTACCAAGGGGACAATGTTTAGATCAGGGAATGAATGCATGGGGAGCATAACAGTTTCTGAATGAAGAATGCTAGAGATGACAAACAGTAAAAGATCATGAAATTCAGATCTGTGTGGCTTAATCTGCTGCAAGTACACCTCTGTGGCAATGCGCCACAGGAGACCCAGGCACCAGACTATTTGAAACGAAGGCTGTGTAAGCAACCTCACATTCTTATTCAGAAAATAAAAAGCTTATTGGAGGGGAAAAAAATCAAGTTCATTCAAATCATAAAAGCTGTATGGGGATTAGAAATCACTTTGTTTTCTCTCTCCTCACTTCAGTGGAAAGCTTTGACTTCTGTCAATGCACTCTGCCAAGAACGTTCACAGACACTGACACGTATGCTGAATACGGGGTTGATTTCTTAGTTCAATAATTGTGGCACAGTTTTTAACTGGCATTTTGGTAACTGTTTTATATTGTAAAAAGATACCCTGTTTTCAGCTTGGCTATAGCTTCTTTCCATACCCTGCTTGTCATCTTCCACTCCCCGTCCTGACAGCAGGACTTTTGTCTGCTATACACTGCAGAGCTCTGCAGCTTGCTACTGCAACTACAGCTGTGTGCAGTAAACAGTTACACCAGTATAAAACCATTGAGACTGAGGAACTGGGTCTGTCTTTCACTCCCAGGAGTAACTCAGCAGTTCAACCTATAGTTACCATTTTACCAACACTTCCAGACAGACACAAGGCCTCAGAGAAAAGGATATTGCTCATTCTGGAATTAAATACACAAGCTAAGGAACGGTAGAGAAAAGCAATTATATTTTATTTGGGACTAAATATTCATAGATGCAGTTGTACCAGAAAGGCTGGGTAAGCTCTGAGTTTTGTTTGCTTGTTTTAACCAGAATGTACAGAATGCTTAAAGCAAAAAACCACCAGTGACCGAAAAGAAAAAAGGCCTGTCATTTAAGTTTATTACACAAAGAAAATGTTTATATGTAGGAATTATTAAAATAAATGCAATAAAATGCTAACCTATAGTTTTCTTTTGAGACCAAAAAGTCAGGGTATTACTCAAAAAACCAAAGTCTGTCAAATCATGAACTCAGCCAAGTACAAATGAAGGCAAAATATACAGGCAAAAATAATTTGGCAGAAGACATGAAAAAACCTGAGTGGGCTACGTCACCCTACAAGGCTTTTCCAGAGCTGGTAGAGATCACAGAAGAGACAAATTGGGTCCACAAGCACTGTAAGAGCAACTGTTCACAGCATCAGGGCAGAGAGCTGCAACAGAACTGAATGAAATATCAACATAAAAATATTTAGGACATAAACTGATTTAAAGAAGAATCCAGACAGAACTTACTAAAACATTTCTATTAGCATTCAGGGAGTTACCGACAGTACAGCATAAATAGGCAAAGCTAATAGCTCACTCCAGTAATGTTTTCTCCTTTGCAGGAAATTGATATGTAGACTAACAAGATGTATTGAATTGAAAATTGAATAAAATATTTCCTCATCCTATTACACACAACATTATCCAGTTTTGTCAAGCCCTTGATCACTTCAAGAGAATGAAGACATGTGACAGCAGAAAAGAACACAGCAGAGGGAAAAAAAAATTCTAAAAATAGTTCCTGGGGTTGAAGCTCTTTGTTGCTGCATAAATAAGGTTTTTTTCATTCCAAGCGAAGTGACCCAGGGTCTGCACTGGCCTGGGCTTACCGAGCTGGGCTGGACTCGTGTCAGCTCCTGCCTTGGGGCCACATACCTGCTGCTTGCCCTGCCTGAGCCAGATCTGTGCCAGTGTCTGTGAGAAGGATCTGACAAACACAGGGGGTGTCTGCCCAGCAAACAAGAGCCTCTGGAAGCTGAGCCTGAGCAGGCTGCAGGGCCATACTCACACTCACCTGAGAGCAGCCAGAAGGCAGCAGCCTGGGGCAGGGAAACATATGACAATACACACAAGCAGGTCCTGGGACTAAAGAGGAAGATACCTGGACCATTAATGTCACTCTTCTCCTAGCAGAAACCTCCAGAAGGTGAGAGCTCATTAAAAATATACCACTACCTACATTTTTTCTGAGAAAACTGGAAGTCTCCACCTTAAGAGCTAGAAGAACGCTGAAGGGACGAGTGCAGGATCAGGGGAAAAGGTAAATACTAGGAAATTTTGGGGTGTTGGAGTGGGGATTTTTTGTTATAACAATTTACACTTTAAAACTTATTACACTGTAAGACTTCTCTGTGTTAGAGAATTTTGACTATTATTCTGTTAAAACATTACCTGGATTAAGAATAAATCCTTAGCTCCATAGATACAGTGAATTCTTCCTTTCCCAGTACCAGGACTTGGAGTGTAACAAGAGTGCACAGGGTAGAGATGAAAAGAGACCAACTGCCTTAACGTTCATGACCATTATTAAGTTCTTCTCACTCTAAGATGAGAGACAAACAGGATAAGCTTGTTGTTACCTGGAAGTTATAGAATGACTAAAATAAATAACTACGTAACCTTGTGTAGCCTTGTTGGTAACTGTAAAGAAAAAAACGTGGCTATCTTTGCTTATTTATTGACTCACCAAAAAAAAATATGTACTTGTCTCTAGAAATAAATAGTTTTCCACTGCTAGAATGGAAGAAATTCTTGGAGTGACAGCGAATACCAAATATTTTTGGGTGGTGCATAGGTAACATTTTTCATAGCAGATAATATAGTATACAAGACTCAGGAAAATTGCAAAGTGCAATAACAGCAGGCTGTTCAAAACTCACAAAGAGAAATTTATGTATAAGGGGTACTAACAAGCTATAAATACTATCTTATCACTGTAGACATCAAACAGAGAATAAAGTTCTAGCCCTAAGTTGTTGAATTTTTATTTTTTAATATTTATATAAACAGACAAGTTGTCAGAAAAATGGCCATACAGTATTTACTGCCACTGCCAGAAAATAATGCCACTGCTAAGCAAACAAATGGCTGGAGTATTAAATAAAATGTGATATTGTGGTTGTGGTGTACCAGATCATGGCATACCCACACAGCACAACTGTAGTGGGACAAAATTCGGAGATAAGAGTCTGTAGATGTCATGAAAATGACAGAATTATGAGCCAAAACCCACAAGTTCAGATCAAGTGCACATTGGTTTATTATTTTGTTTATGTGATAGACAAACATAAATTATTTCTCTTCTAGTTTTAATGCCATTTGTAGATTGTTAGTCTTTTGCTTTGGGTAGGGAAAAAAGATATGGAAAATTTGTTTTTGAAGAATCTCTAGAGACAACTTCCTGGATTGCTCTTTCCAGATCCATGCCGTATGAGAAGTCACTGGCAGTCAGAAAGCACAGTTGTGACCGACTCACTGGATCCTCATTATTTTAGATTTATCTTGATGCACTGGACCACCCAAGTAGATCTCCTATTAACAGTCAAGTTAATTTTTGCAATAGCATTCAGAGTAGCAATCTCAGAAAGGTACAGAGGGCTCAATTCCTTGTTAATCATTCCCTATCTCCCACTTCTTGGAGCAATGTCCATTGAGGCAGAGAAGATTTTCTACCAGGTACAACTCCCAGACGAACATTTAGAAACCAAAACAATAAAGAAGGAAAGTCTATGAGAATGATGTGATGATTACTTAGAAGAAACTTACTAGCAAAGAGGAAAAGAAGAAAGAAGACTTGGTACTCAGTCTCCCTGCAATTTATACCAGTTTACAGGTAATGAACATACATCCTCATTCTCTCCTTGATTTGTTTACACTTTATGCAGGTCAGGGGAGAATGAACATAGGCTCAGACTCTGTAGTCAGCTCCTCAGATGAGTTAAGTGGAAACATATCTCATTCCTGACCAGAAAGGCTGAAGAATCTCATTGGTAAGCTAAATACTAAACTGAACTTCCTTGTTAAGCTATAGAACACCCTAAACATGTATGAAATACTTTTGTCAGCATGTTGTACAAATTTAAGAATTATAAATTAATTATAAATTTATATAATTATATGTAATCTATCTAGCCTGAATCTACCCTTCTTAAGTTGAAACCATCACTTGTCCTATAGCTACAGGCCCTACTAAAAAGTCAGTCCCCATCTTTCATATAAGCCATGTTTAAGTACTGTAAGGCCACAGTCAGGTTTTCTTGGAGTCTCCAGGTTGAACAAGCCCAAGTCTCTTAGTCTGTTCTCATAGGAAAAGCCCTCTGATCATTTCCTGGGCCCTCTTCCAGGCCTGTTCCTAAAGGTCCTTGTCTTTGTGTTGAGGGCTCCAGAGCTGAGCAGAGTATTTCAGGTGGGTTTTCACCGTAGTGGAGTAAACATCTTAAAGCAATACTGGCACATGATATGCTGCACAACTAAGTAGGTTCAAGTAATTTATTTTATTTTTTTTTTCTTTTACTTTGAACTTTTTTTTTTACTTAGAAAACATGCATTTGATTTAATGGAGCCTCCCTGAGTTTCTCTTAAATATGGTTCTATATCAAATGGATGAACAAAAATTTTGTAAAAAAATTGTGTTTACTTAAATAAAAAAATCTCTGTAAAATAGATGTTTTGCTTAGAGTAAAAATCCTTATATTTGTTGACCATGATTTTTATTTTTCATTAATTTATACAATGATTTTAATTAGAATGATCCAGAAAGGAAATATAGAGAACTTCTTATTTTGGATCCAAATTCCAGTATTTTTGCCAGTACCAAATCATCTCTTTTTCTTTATATGAAAATGAGGCAAAGACACACAGATTCCATGAAAGAGAAAAAGAAAAGTTTCTAATTAGACAGACTCATATATATATATACACTTCTACAGCTGAGAAATATCAAAATATTTGCAATTGTTTTTTAAGAGCAGGCTTTCAATATAGTCCATATTCTTCTTATATAAAGATGAGCAGGGAAACAACAAGCAGCATTTAAAACACAAGGCACAGCCTGTCACTGAGGAACAGTGATGTAAGCATGAGAGAGAAATTCCAATATACTGTAGAGACAAGGAGAAAAAAACCCAACCATCTTTAAAAGGGTATCCAAATCCATTTTCTCCACCTTCTGAAGCAAATGGATGGTCCTGCTAGCAACAAGATGTGGCTCAGAAAGCTTAGATTCAGTCACCACCCTTGACAGGGCCCCTGTGCTCTCATTGACAAGGCAACAATTAATCAGTGAACTCCTTCCCCAGCCTATTAATTAAGGATCACAACACTTGCTTTCTTCCTCCCTTACCTATACAGGGACCTGGAGCAGCTGACTCAGGCAAAATTGCCACTAGGCTGTAAGAGCTTTGTGCCTCTCTCAGGAGATACACAATATCTCTCCACATTTTCTTATCACATGTCCCAGGATCTCATTTGAGGAGCCTCCAGTCTCAGATAGGACATGAATTTGCTATAAAAATACAAAGATTAAATGTTCTATTTGCTGCTTTAGTAGTTTACAACTTTCACACACAGCAAACAAAATATCATGCTAAACAATAGAGATTACTCCAAAAGTTTATACAAATGACTAAGGACAATTTTTTTTTAACCCAGAAATTTATAACATTTCTGTTTCATTATATCCTGATATTTTATCAACAATTTAAAGATAAATTCTGGACAACACCAGTCAGTTACATCATCTGACCAACAGAAGGCACAAACACATCCTCAGACTGTGCCAAAAAATACTCTTTCACTCTGAATCCATCTCACTCTCAGTAACAGGACTGTATCTCAGGGGTAACAGAAACAGCTAGGTTTATTTCCTTTGCCTGGGATGTTTTAATTTGTGATGAGTAAAAATACATCATCACCAGGAAGAAGAAGAAGAATTTCCTGTGAAGACAGGAAATTTTAAAAGTATTGTAGGTATTTTGAGAGGAAAAATATTTTTTCATAGGTCTTCTATGTTTTATAGACAGTGATTTGTTTAGAAATATTTATTGCAGTGAAGTTTACAGCCATGGCTTAGGCAGTGCTTCTGCTGATAAATGGTTAAGAGCTACTTTTCCATAAATTAGTGAGAGAAAACTCATAAAATTTGTCATCAGGCTTGAAAAGTGTGCTATTTTCAAACAGTACAAATTGTGACTGGCTCAGCACCATATGGTATTTAATTTTCTGTGATGTATGCATGTGCACAAATTGCATTTAGGTAACTGGGATGCTGTCAGTCTGAAGATAATTCTGCATACACTAGCAGGTAGAAAGCAAAGGTCTCTGACAATATCTGAATCATTTCAAAGGATGGTCTCTTTATTCATGCACCATTCAAGTATACATGAAGAAATGTTAGGAGCTGTGTTCTTGACTTTATCTGAGATTTTATTTCTGAACCAAGGCTTGATGCAAAAAAGAAATGCTCAAAATAAATATATGTGGTTTTTTAAACCATTTTTCTGTATTTTTGTTATATACAGCCTTCATGAAAGCCTGATCTGTTGCTTCCACTAAGAACAATGTCTATATTGTACCTTAACATAGTAACATTACACAACGTAAACTAATTTAGAAAAAAATCTATGAGACATTTTTCTGATTATTCTGAAAATATTTAAGCTGTATTTCCTTCCTGTGTTGTTTGAAAGTTTTGGGAAATAAAACACAGTAGCCAGAACTCAAGTGGTGCTCTGTAGGCATTACTGCCTTCTTTACAACTAAACCCTCATGTACCACCTGAGGACCAACTTGACAACATTAAAGTGTGAATAAAGTAACTGACTTCATTATTTATATTTCTTTTGAAAGTCCATTTTTGTTTACTTTATTCCTTAATAATGATTTGATACTAGCCAGTTAGAAGCTCTCTCTGAACAGTTTTAGAACTATCAGTTTTAATTTGGATAATTTAAATTGGCCTAGGTATCCAGAAATCATTAGTTTGAGAAAATTACTTTTCTGACTTGAGAGGGAGGATCATGAATGACATGGAGCAATGTCAATTGACTTATGATTACCTCTTTCACCAACTCAACCCTCAACTGTTCAATCACAAAATAAATTCCAGGAAAAGAATCAGAATTTGGTCAGGAAAAAAAAAGAGACACGAATATTTGATGTGTAGTATAGTGATATAATGGAGAGGACACAAATGCAGTGGAAAAATTTCACCAGATGACTGATAAAGAGATGTTCTGCTTTGTCCTTGAGACAGTTAGGAAGGAAGGGAACTTTGAAGTGTGGTAATGGCACTTGTATTAGAAGCTGTGAGCCAGACGAAAAAAAAATTCTGAAGTCAGCTAACAAATTAAACTTCTTTCATAACATTCTTGCAGAGGTCAAAACAAGGATTCTGTTCTGATGTACACAGCACATGAAAATATAAAGGCGCACTCAGGAAAAAATATTTTTTCCAAAGTTGAATGTATTATTTTAACTTATATTCACCATTTTATGGTGGAAGTTTTCATCTGAAATCCCTTGACAGGTTTGGAGATTGAGGGATTTATGGGGTGGCTGCATTTGAAGTTGAACTAACGTGGTTATACACAGAGACAGAGTGAATGTCAGTCACTCACCAGAACAAGGTGGTATTCACCCAAGAGTTCAAATGAATTCAGTGATGAAATATATAAACTACTAAATCTAGAAGATAGCCTCTCACTTGAAGCTCAATACATGAATGCTGGCTGACAGAATTTTTATTTAATAATCTTAACTTTTAAAAAGTAATTTTAAAAATCCTTTTATATGAAGCAAATCATTAAAGAGAATTGGAAAGGATAAATTTACTGGATCTCTTTGTTAATACTTTGGAGAAAACGAAACCCAGAGACTTCTGTGAAGAGAATTACTGCCCCCAAAGTCAATAATCAGAGAGACAGAAATGATTAAGTACATATAGTCTGTCTGGATTTCCAAAAGTCTTCACAATGATCTTTATTGCAAAATCTTAAGGAAAGCAACGAGCCATTGCATCAGTACAAGGCGATTCTTTCATGGCTGAAAGTAATGAATGAATGGTTGAGAGAACAGAAATGGAAACAGGACTGAAATGTTAATTCCTGTGGTGTGGGGAGATCAGTAGTGGAGTCCTGTGCCATTCAACATCTTCATAAATAGCCCAGTAATGACATTGAAGAAGTAACTGTGCTGATGATGCAAAGTAATTCAAGATACTGATGATGGCAGACTGTGAAGAATCCACTGAGTAACTGGATATTCTAATAGCAGATAAAATACAGTGCAGGTAGGTGAAAATCAATACATAGAGGGAAAAGCAATATCAGATTCATATACAAAATGGGAGGCTCTCAGCTGACCAATGTCACTCAAAAGTGATTTTGGGATATTGTAAGCCATTCTATAAAAGCTGTCAAGTCAAGTGCTGGGTAACATTACATACATAAATAAATAGGCAAATAAATAACATATGCAATGTTCTTGTTATCCTAAATATTCTGTTAGGAAAGGAGGTAGTTCCTAATCCAGCAGGAAAAATTGTAGTCCTCCTGGCAAAGGATTCTGTGAATGTAAATGATTTCTCTGAGTTAAAAGGTTGACCAGAGAGTTTCTTGCAAGTGACGTACATAGGAGGTCACCAGGAGAAATGCAAGAGTCTCAGGAATCCTCCACAGCTGAGAGTGTAAGTGTATTAGGGACCTCTTCCTCAGTGTCCTCTTCCTGGACAATTATTTATCTCACTAGATCTTTCATATGACTCAGAATGCAATAATTATATGTTACTTTGTTTTATAACCTATAAAGGAAAAGTTAGAATAGCAACACTGTAGGACAAAATCACATGGCACTCTATATAACACATTTAGGAAAAAAAAAAAATCATCCCACATGTTTTCTCTACTAGAAACTGCCTATGCTTTGAAGACCTGCTTCTGTTTTAGATGTAGCATGCAAAATAAAAAATTTTGGAGGTCTCTGACACATTAGCTTTTGTTAAGAAAATACACCACAGCAGAGCTGAGAACTTAAGGGATGGAGAGGATTTTTTAAAGAGGATCAAGTAATAGAGGACAATGTCTCTTCTCTTAAAACACAACTAACAGAAAATTCATATGAGAAATAAAAACATGATCAGTAGAGACTGCAACAGGCTAAAAAATCTTGAGTAAATGATCCTTTGTTTTAGATTGTCTTGTTTTAAATTATCATAGATCATCTTTAAAGAAAGTGTGTCTTAAAGAAATCTCCTGACAAAACAGCCCTTTCACTAGAAATTACATTGCATCAACAAGAACACTGATTTATAGGAACAGTAAGATTCTCAGAGGTCACTGTGCAGAAAACTAAATAAAGCCTAATGTAGTTCATACTTTTCTCTGATGTTTATTGCAAAATATATAGTCAGCATTTTATTCTCTAAAATATACTGGGGACCAAAGGCTAATGTCAGAAAGAAATATCAGATGACATAGATCAATATCAAGGCAACAATAGAGGTATTGCTTTTTTAAAATTATTTTCTCTTGACATCACTCTTTGTTTTTGTGACTGGTGCAAAACAGAAAAATAAATGGACTATAGTATATCCTAAATACCATCCTTAAAAGCAGATTCACAGGCTGTTTCATTTTCCAGATTTCAGAGATGGTGTCTTGGCTTTCATTTGCTTCTTGGTTTTCCTTTTAGATTATTTTAAACCTAACATAAATATGAGCAAAAATAACTAAACTTATATAGTATGTTCATAGATGTTTGCAAAACAACTTCCCATTGACAAAATTGACAATGTTCTTTAGCAGCATGCTGTATTTATTGAAGTCACAAAGCCTCACATACTCTAAAGTTTGCCAGTAAAGACATATACAGGAAGCTTTAAAATATCATCCTGGTAGTGAATATGATTATATTCCAAAGAAAAAGTCACAAACTTCAAATTCACCAAAGGCAATTTTAGACATAGGCCTCCTAGGTTTGAATTCAAGGGAAAATTCAGAATTACGAAAGTCACACCTCTTCCAATTCTGTTTAATTATATCTAATTACTGAAGGGATCTTGCAGTAAGTGTGTCTGATGAAGCTATTGTGCTTTGAGTTTAATAGAGTGAGCTCTACTTTAAATGTTATATCCTTGGTCACAATCTGGCTTCCTGATATATAAAGAGGACAGCACAACATGTTGTCAAAAGCAACCATAGCCCACACAAAAAAAAAGATTTGTTGTTTTATTTGAAAACCTGTCAGTATGTGAAAGTCAAGAAAGAGATAAATGAAGAGTACCTAGAAAATAGTCTTATCTCAGAGAAATGCTGAGGATTGGAAATAAAAGAAAAACATATTTCCAAATCCATTTGAATGCCTTGGGTAAAGATAAATATGAAGAGGACCTACAAGTGTCTCTTATTGCACACAGCGGGCAATAAAGTCATGAAAGTATTAATTCATTTTATGAGAAACCAATTGAAAATATTCCACTTACAATGAAATCCTAATACTTAGGAACTGCTGTAGTCCAAGAAGAGTATTTGGTTTGATCAAAATCAGGTCCTTTTCTTATCTACAGCTAGGAAAAGAGCAGATAAGACATGTAAAAAAGCTGAAAGGGGAAAATAAGTGCCAGCTTCAGAAATACCCAATAGCATGTTCATGTTTAGAGCTCCTGCTGAAAACAGACTAACTAGAAAATAGTGAAGGAATTTCAATTAGAATTCACGAAGAAAAAAAAAGTGTCATATAAACATCACTACCTCAAACATATGGGTTAACAGTTTCATCAAAATTAGGAAGAGAAAATGGCAGGTAAGAAAATCTGTATTAACAAGCATTCACAAGAGAATATCAGGTTTATCTCGAGATAGCATCATCCTATCTGCACAATAGCTGATATACAGCACCAACAAGTTGATAAAAACATTTTCATTGAGAACAAGGACAGGTCCTGGCAAGCCAGATTACAGAATCAATCAGGTGAATTGAGCAATTTCAAACCCTATACAGCAGCTTCAAGATTATACATTTACCTATAGCAATAAATTGAAATAGGGGATGTTTTAATAAAAGAGCAAAGAAAAACTTGCTGATATTTTGAACAACAACATGATGAGGTGATGATGGGTGTACCAGCCCCAGATGAACAGAGACACTGAGGAAAATGATAAGAAGGAACAACGATGATATACTCAATTCATTCTGAAAAGATGCCACCCATAACAAAAGCATTCAAACACATAGGACAGCTGTATTAATCAAACCACTTAACAAATATATTACAGATGTCGCTGACAGAAGAGCCCACATAGAAGAATGTATGTAGATCCTTGAAAATTTGAAAGTACTGTGTAAGAAAAGTAGGTTTAACTGCCCATCTAAAATAATTGTTTTGTGATACCACAGCTTTGCAACAGTCATGAAAGAAACAAAGTTTGTAGAAAATAAAGACTACACTCTGCCACATCTGTGTTGTTATAGTCTGATAATTTGTTACCAATAATAAATACTTTTTATGGAAATCACCAGAAAAACAAATCCTGAGATAAGTAGATGTGCTGGTCTAGCATGACTCAGAATACTGAACAATTTCTGCATAAAATCTTCACTGTTTCTTTTGTCCAATGGCACAAAATAGCTGAAGATTTCTTCTTTTTTTGTCTGATTGGTTGCTGTTTGTTTGGTTTTGGTTTTGGTTTTGGTTTTGCTTTGACATATCATACCCACTTAAGGATTTTTTTCCACTTTCCAAAATTTTAGTCTCCTCCTGACATGTCAGTCCATTCTGCCACTGCTAAACACAGTGTTCTGTTTTCAACACATGGCATCCCAAAATAGGTATTGAGTGATCTCCTTGTGCAAGCATTAAGAGCATTGAGCCTAATGAAATGACTGAAAGACTGTTCAGATGGTACAACCTATCATTTGCAATATAGCTGCATCAGAGAGTAGAAATATTCTGACTCGTTTAAACCTGAGAAATTAAAAAAGATGGGTAGGAAACACTGTCCTGCATGGCCACTAGGTGAGAGAAGATGGCTTTTTTCCTGTTATTCCCGTGAACACTGACTCCAAAGACCTTCTGATGAGTTAATGCACTTATAACAAAGACTGAAATGATAATATGGCCAGAGAGCACAACAACAGTCCCTTTTGTCCTGAAGATTAAATGCATGATTTTCTCTGAGAGCCTGAGAGAATTAAAGCCTGTCAGTGGCTGATCTGTTCCCAAGGGAAAGTTTCTTGGAAGATCTTTCGCTCAAGGACATTTGTAAACAATTTTACTTTCTCAAAACAGTTCTGTATAACTGTGGATAGTGTGTTTTTCTCTTGTCCCACCAATGGGACAAGACATCATGTTCCCGTGACCAATCATGTTAAACCTGTAGTGTAAGACCCTACAAAAGCTGAAAAGTTCAGAGAATAAAGGCCCTTTTCCTAGCAACTCGTTCTGGTGTGTGCTGTGAATCCACACTTCTACATAGTGTCCAACAGCAACACATGTGGAAACTACATTCATAATTGAAGGTTACAGCTGTAATGAGAAAGGTACACATCTACAGACTGGCAGCTGAGACTGGGACAAATTAGAAGAGTAAGAAGCACACCAGAAGTGTTTGTGTCTGAGAGATATGATTAGGTGAGACTTGCAAAGGAACATTAGGATCATCTGAGGAAGATCAAGAGTTAGGTGTGCTCGCCAGGCTAGTGTGGAGACTTACTGGACATCTGGAACTGTTCAGTTATGTTATCTACCTTTGACTGATACAAGGAGATATTAATCATGATGCTGCCTTAATTAATATGATTAGTCATCCATGTCTCAGGCTAGATAGTGAAGACACAGGCAAGCAGCATAACAGAAGGTTTTCTAGGAACATAAAGAAGGAATCCAGGACATTATCCTGTATTTTCTTTTTAAAACAGCTTTGAGAAATCACCAGGATACTACTGTTAGGAGAAAAGTAGCCGGCACGCGGCAAAAGAAGGCTACAGCACCCGGTATTCCCAGGCGGTCTCCCATCCAAGTACTAACCGGGCCCGACCCCGCTTAGCTTGCTTAGCTTCCGAGATCAGACGGGATCGGGCGTTCTCAGGGTGGTATGGCCGTAGGCACCACGAGCACCCTCAGCAGCGCTCTCGAGCTCACCACCGCCTTCCCGCCCTCACCCGTCGCCTCACGGACTCGACACGGGAAGCCAGGGCCACCCATGGCCACGGGCACCAGGAACCCGGAGCCGGACCTAACAAAACACAGGACACACAAGGCACAAAAGCCACGCGATGCAAGGCACACGAGGCACTCACGTCACGCGTGCCCTCTCCCTCCTGCCCCTCGCCACAGCTTCCCAGGCAAAGGAAGAGCCCTCCCGTCCAGTCGCCGGCACGCGGCAAAAGAAGGCTACAGCACCCGGTATTCCCAGGCGGTCTCCCATCCAAGTACTAACCGGGCCCGACCCCGCTTAGCTTCCGAGATCAGACGGGATCGGGCGTTCTCAGGGTGGTATGGCCGTAGGCACCATAAGCCCCCTCAGCAGCGCTCTCGAGCTCACCACCGCCTTCCCGCCCTCACCCATCGCCTCACGGACTCGACTCGGGAAGCCAGGGCCACCCATGGCAACACCACAACTTATAGACGGACATAACGCCAAACAAGGCACAAAAGCCACACGAGGCACAAAAGCTACGTCTGCCTGCGCCCTCCTGCCCCTCGCCACAGCTTCCCAGACAAAGGAAGAGCCCTCCCGTCCAATCGCCGGCACGCGGCAAAAGAAAGCTACAGCACCCGGTATTCCCAGGCGGTCTCCCATCCAAGTACTAACCGGGCCCGACCCCGCTTAGCTTCCGAGATCAGACGGGATCGGGCGTTCTCAGGGTGGTATGGCCGTAGTCACTGTTCGGCCTCTCAGGAGCACTCACCTTCTCGCTATGCCCCGCAGCCTCACGGACACAGCACAGACACGCAGAGCACACAGCCCGGGCACCAGGGCTGGGTATGGCGACACCGGACTCGGAGCCAGAGCCACCAACACGCAGGGCACACAAAGCACAAAAACCACAGGAGGCAAGGCACATAAGGCACACAAAGCACACTAGCCACGTGTGCCCACAAGCTCCTGCCCCTCGCCAAGGCTGCCCAAGCAAAACAAGGGATATCCCAGTACCTGTGGTACTGTTAAAAGTTATTAGTCTCTGCCACATAATAAGAATATATGGTCCAAAATTAAATGGCCTCAATGTCACCATGAGTTCTTCACAGTGCAGGTGTGACATTTGAAAGTAAACAGACTATAGTCCTTTTTTTCTGTGTAACTTCTGGCAAGTCTGTGGCCATAGGGAGATGCCACAACGTGTAGATATCATAATTTTTAAAAGCCCAAACAACCAACCATAGCTTCATCTTTCTTGGAGGACTTTATTAGTTTGTTTAATAACATGAGCACAATCTAACCAAGAGAACACAAAACCGTGATTCCAGATACATGGGCTATGCCCCTTTCACTTGGGCTAAGGGGCTGGATTTCCATCAGTGACCACAAGCCAGTACTTTTTCAAGTGTTTGCTGCCTTTTTCTCTAAGGCATAATTTGGGATATTTTATGGCCTTTAATTAATGCAAAAAAATGCTATATTTTCAAATACTTTGTAAGGAACTGAAAATACAAACTTTCTGCAGCCAAACAAAAATAGTGTGTATGTCTCTAGATGCATATATGGAGGTGGAAAAAGACAAGAGGACAGAAGATAAGAAAAAATAGATACCGTCTGGGACTGGGGGGAGGAGAGGAGGGAGGGGCAGGAATGGGACAGTGCTCCAGGGTCTGTGGCAAACAGTAAAGAAAAATACTTAGAGGTGTCAGAGAAGTAGAGGTGTCAGAGAAGTAGAGGTGTCAGAGAATTAAAGGTGTCTCCAATAACATAACTATTTGAATTTTAAGATCGAGTATCTGTAGGCAGCTAGGTAGGGAGATTACAAGGATGGGAGTGTGAAAGAGTTAAGGATAAAAGGAATTGCTTGGGATGGATCTATCTGTGAATTTCACTAACACAAGTTTGCTGCCATTTTAAGCACCAAGTGCTCCACTCAGCCATACTTTGAGATCAAGTTCCTGTAAAAGTATATATTTAAGCCTGTATGAGGGCATTTCTTCACACAGGAACAATTTGAGCTATTCCTGCAAAGGTAGGCAGCTCAATATTTGAGATATAGAGCGGTTCTGCAAGAAAGTCTGTTTTCTTAGACTGATGGACTTGGAATACAAATATGAGTACGATGTTTCTTGTGACACCTATGTCTGGAAGTTTACAGTAACCCTGAGGTGATGGCCCTGCTTCAAATTCATGCATTATGACCCTGAGGTGATGGCCCTGCTTCAAATTCATGCATTATGTCAATGAAGAACTGTGCACGGACTGGAAAAGCTGCTTACCCGTATTTTCCTAGGAGACTGAGCTGTGTGAAATCATCTAAGATGAGTGTTTCATGGGGCTTTCCATTTCTGTTCCTGTTGGGAAGGCAGATTGCCTCAGTGAGCTGAGCATTGAGTCACGAAGGTCACACAATAAAAAAGAGTGGAAAAAACTATTTCAGTTGGAAGAGTCCTACAACAGTCATAGAATGACAGAATCATAGAATGGTTTGTGTTGGAAAGGACTTTAAAGATCATCTAGTTCCAATCACACTGCCATGGGCAGGGACATCTTCCTCTAGACCAGGTTACTCAAGGTTATCCAGCCTGGTCTTGAACACTTTCAGGCATGGAGCATCCACAGCTTCTCTGGGCAACCTGTTCCAGTGCCTTACCAGCCTCACACTAAAGAATTTCTAACATTTCATCTAAATGTACTTTCTTTTGGTTTAAAGCCATTTGTCCTTATCCTATCACTACATGTCCTTTAAAAGTTTCTCCAGCTTTCCTGCAGCCCCTCTTTAAGGTGCTTTAAGGTTGCCCCAGAGCCTTCTGTTCTCCAAGCTGAACAAACCAAACTCTCTCAGCTTGTCATCGTAGGAGAGGTATTCCAGCCCTCTGATCATATCCATGGTCTCCAGCAGCCCCATGTCCTCCTTCAACTGCTTGAATCAATTCAGGACTGACCAAAATGTTAAGAATGTTATTAAGCTCGTTGTCCAAGTACCTCTCAAACAGACAGGCTTGGAACCATCAATCATCTCCTTAGGAAGCCTGTTCCAGTGTTTGACCAATCTCTCTTGATAAAAATACTTCCTAAACCTCATCTGGCTCAGTTTTGAACCATTCCCGTATGTCCTCTCACTGGAATACCACGGAGATCAGCACCTTGCCTTCCTCAGGTGTTTGTAGAGAGCAAAGAGTTTGCTGCTCAGCCTCATTTCCCCCAGTTGCCAGCACTGCTGGGTAATTACTCCTTTTGACCAATTAATTATGCTGTGTTTCACTTGCCCCAGCATGGCGTTCACTGGGGGCACACTGCTGACTCCTCTTTAGCCAACACCCCCAGATCCTTTTCCGTAGGGCCGCTCTCCCACCACTCCTGTCCAAACCTATACTTGTATCCAGCTTTACTTTTTTTCTTAGTATTAACCTCTACAATTCTGCATAACCAGCAGACTCTGCTGACTATGTCCTCACATGCTTCTGCTAAATTTATTTGGCCTATCTCAGCTTTTATCCATGTATCTACTTATCCAAATTAGAGGATACATATGAAAATATGTATTTCCCAGCCTTGTTTGTGCATTTATCACTGTCAATTTTTTTATCACTGTCAATTTGTCAATCAATGTTTTGTCAATTTATCACTGCTTTGAATTGAAGATGTATTTCAATAGGCTAATGAAAACTATCAGCATTATACAAGGCAAGGTAGAAATGAAAATTATAGGGAAAAGCTGGTTTTAAAGGCACAAGTGATTAGGGCCAGTCACGTAGGTTAATTTTGATTTCAAGGCCACAGCTTAGACCTAGTGCTTGGGATTTTCCACAGGAGCATTCAGTCTGGCTTTGATGACATTGAGATATGAGGCATCTACTCTTTCCTTCATGTTTTGATTTACTGGCCATTTACTCCACATAAAAAAATAATAATAATAAAAAAAAAGTTTGATAACTATTTTCTCCTGAATTTTTACATCTTTTGTACCCATAGTATTGTTTGCTACTAGATTAAACACTTATTTAATATCCTGTACTTTTACCCTGAGAAGGCAGTTAGAAACTATGATCAAATAACCCCTCAGTCCTCTTTTTGATAAGTACATTGATCTCTAAAAGATCTATTTAAAGAGTAAGACTGGGGGGGAGAGGGCAATGATCATCTTACTTGCATGCTCCTGTAATTACTGATGCCATGGGAAAGATATTTATTACAACAATATGTCTGGAACTGTACAAAATATAGAGAAATGTGTGCTCTCAAAATTTACTTTGATTATCTCAAGGTTTTTTTCCTAAGACTGCATTTATCTTGCATTGCCTTGACTATCAATGCATCACTGCTTTTATGTTCTTAGAGGAGCAAGAATGAAGACATTCTGAAATGGTATTAGAATTCCAACTGGGATTTCTTCCAGTGCTGTTCAGCATAAGTAATTGAAACTGAATATTGTATTTTTATATACTCTGTAGCATTTCTTCCATGGGGCAAATTTCTACTCACTTACTATTGTGTAAGTTATAAATGACATTCTGCATTTCTTCTATCAAAATATTAAGCTAGTGGATATTTAACTGTAAAGAAATATATCCTTGGGCAATGAATGCAGTCAGAAATTACTAGGTGAATTTAAGCAAGAAAAGAATGATCCCATATTAAGGTAGTGCATAAATTTTTGAGTGTGGGACAATGGCCCCCCATTTATTAGCATTTTATTTCCACATTGAAATGCCTGACCTTGCTTCAGCAGTTTTATGACTAGGAAGATCTCTGGAAGTTCAATTTTTCCCTCTAGAAAAAGAAAGCAGCTATGTCAATGGGAATAAATACAACTTAGATGTAATTGTTTCCTGTTTTTCTTCAGATGTATCAAAAAACTTTAATACCTCTATAGCATAAAAATTCTGATAATAAAAAAGACCAACTACTATAAAAGTGAGGAGAGGAAATACTTTGAAATACATACCCTATTATACACTAGTGAGAAACTGAAAGCAATTTTTTAGTTATGTGAATACCTAATGTATAGGTGAAGATTGCCTACTATTCATGTTTCAGATGAATATCAGAGCAGCTGGGCAGACATGAAGCAAAACCTTTGCACAACTAGTGATATGCAAATGAATCTCAGAAATCTTAGTTTAGGAAAAAAATTAAAGAAAAATAAGGATCACATCCTTAAGATCCTGAAATGTTCAATATTTGAGGCAGTTGTCAATATCAACTCTCATGACCTTTCATCAATTTTAAATTGGATTTAAAGAGCAAATAACTATGACAGCAAGAATAAGAATTGCCAGAAACCTGTTCCCAGGGAGGTTCTGGGTATGTCAGGGCTGGAAGTGAGGCCAGGCCTCTGCTGGACTGGACCTTGATTCTATAGAA